AGTGCATGGCTGTTAATTTGATAGCAATGTAAACATGTCATGCACTATTTCATTGGTGACTAAGTATATTGATTACATAAAAAAATCAGTAATTGTATGCAAGAAATTTAAATTGGATACATAGGTTGTTCAATCTTTATAACTGCCTTTCTTACGGAATAAACAAGTATTGTTTATTTTCCAGTGCGTTCTTTCTGTGAATTTTTCACATCTATTGCCTTTGGAGACCAGATTCCAGCAAGCATCCTAAACAGAACAGTGGTCTCTTCGCAACTGATAGCTTCCCTGAGTTACTTTTAGCTACAGATCTGAATAGGATACTGCAAGCTGTAAAGCAGTCATCTTATAAAGCCAAATGCTGCCTAGCTAAATAATACCACTAAGGGATCAAACTTACGCACGTTTAGACGGGAGGAAGGTCCTACACCTCCCAGCATGCCCCAATCACCATGACTGCTGGGAGTTGTAGGTCCCTTTTTTTTCCAGTCTAAGCATACCTAGGAATACGCCCCAAAGGAGAAAGAAACGTAGACTGTTTTCATGTCAGCCATTTTAGGTTCATGAGCTGTAGGGAGCCTGGCTAGGAATACCGTGTACAATATATTCTTCATCTTTCCGTGGCGCTTTTAACGCACCTTTTCAAGCTACTGCAAGGACTTAAGCTAAGGCGGCTGCTCGCGAAGAGTCCAAGCGCCCCAGACGCTCTGCGTTCGCGTCTGCCTTGCACCGGTCCGTCTGTCGGCGTAACGCCTCCCCGCCCCCGCATTCATTCCTCTTCTCGAAAGCACAAACAACGGGCAGCCCCCTTCCCCCACCCCACCAGCCTCTGGCACCCAGGAACTACCACTGTGCTTCGTGACCCCCCGCACAAAAAAAGTTACGATCTTGCACAGAGGGCTCTGGAAGTCACTTCCTAGCTGTACCTTCAGGCCCCTGCGGCTCCCATTTTCTCGCGCACCGCTCCGTCTCCGTTCCCAGCCCACTCCGTGTTGTGTTAGAGCATTTGTTGGTGCGGCAGCAGCGGCTGCCTCCTCACCTTGGCATCGGAGGGCAAGATCAGCACTTGACTGCTGCAGCTGTTCTCTCTCTCCTTTTTGACAGCGTCTTTCTGCGCCAAGGCCGAATTAAACGACACTTTCACCATGGCTGCAGAGAGTTCTCAGCTACGACTTAACGGTGTCAACAAAGCGAGCTGCGGCGACTGAAAGACGATCCGGGAGCTTCCGGCTCACATAAGCCCCCACCACTCCCGTCTGTGCAAGCAACGGAGGTTGCGTGCTGATCGCTGTTCCTCCTCGCTCAGGAGGTAATCAAATTCTTCGGAGCACGGAGAGCTGTGAAGGAGAATGCGAATCCGCAAAGGGAGCATTTGGAGGGCTGGAGAAAAGGGAGGGAGTAAACTGAGCGCACCTATTACCAGATGGGGGCAGCTACCTCGGTGTTACGGGGCGTGGCGAATGCTCATCCTTGGGCCGGAACTGAAGTGGCCACTTGGAGGTCTCCGGCAAGCATCCAGGTGGGCTCAAGAAAGCACTAAATTGGCGACAGCTCTTCCCGCTGGCAGGTCGGCAGCAAAAAGCATTAAAATAGTGCCTGTGGGCTGCGTGTGTGTCCGCGCTGCTTGTGAGGGCGCTGCTCGGGCCGCTGCTCAGCTTGGGATCAGTCGTGTGGTCGCGCGCTGAGTGCTTACTGCCGGCGGCGACCATTATGTTTATGTGTGTGTAGAGTGACTGGCTACGTGCAAAAGGTAAATAAGTTCTTTATTTCAAAAAAAAGTTGGTGATTTGAAAATCTTTTTTAGTGTAAAAGTGTGACCCCAAGAGGTGAGTTCTGGCACTTTTTTTTTTTTTAACAAAAAAAGTACTGGGTTCCATTGCCATAACATAACTGCTTTAACGTTCAGGAAGATTTTCCTGATGTCTGCCCAGAATCTGGCTTCCTGTAGCTTAAACCTATTATTCCATATCCAGCAACTCTGTGATGATTGAGAAGGGATCCTGGCCCTCCTCTGGGTAACAACATTTCAAGCATTTGAAAAGTGCTCTCATATCTCGGTTCTGTCTACTCGGGGCTATACATGGCCAAATCTTTCCAACTCTCTTCATAGGGCTTTGTTTCCAGTCCCCTGTTCATCTTAATTGCCTTCCTCTGAACCTTTTCCAGTTTGTCTGCATCTTTCTGTCAAGTCCAGAGTTGGACATGATACTCAAGATGGAGCCTAACTAGTGGCAAATAGAGGGGAACCAGTAGCTCACGTGATTTGGAAGTTATACTTCAACTAATGCAGTCCAATAAGGTGTTTGCCTTCTTTACAGCCACTTCACATTGTTGACTCATATTCAACTTGTGATCTACAACAGTTCTGAGATTCTTCTTGTTTGTAGTGTTGTTGAGCTAGTTATCGCCCATCTTGTAACTGCATTTAGTTCTCTTTTCCTAGGCGTAGGACTCAGCATTTGTCCTCACTGAATTTCATTCTCCTGTCTCCTGCTTTCAGTCCAGCACTCCAGCCTATCAAGATCACTTGAATTTGTTTCTATATTGCAGGGTATTAGCTGGCCCGCCCAGTTTTGTATCATCTGCAGATGTGATCTGCGTTGATTTATTTATTTATTTCATTTGTATGCTGCTGAAGGTCTCTGGGTGATAAACAATTAATCAAATGCAAATGTACAATAAAAATACAAATAATAAACACAGGATAAAATTGCATTGTGCAAATTTAAAACCGCTAAACATTCCAATATACAAAAATTAACAGTTTAAAATCTAAAACAATTTCCCTTAAAAGCCATACCTAATTAAAACAGTATCATATGCTATGAAATGTCATTAAAAGCTTGGAAACATTTTTTATCTATTGCCAAAACAATGACAATGTCAGGTCTCAGTGGGGAAACCATTTTACAACGGGGGGGGGCACCACTGAAAAGGCCCTCCTTCCTGCCTCATTCTGTGCTTTACTTGGAGGTGGCAGTTGGAGGAAAGTTTAAGCACTTCTGCACTGGAAGACTTTTGGCATTTCAGGACTTGAAGTGCCTAGCTTTTCACCAACTCTGCAGGCTGCATCCTGGTTAGGTTCTCTGAAAGCTGTGCCATCCTCTTCATACAGCAGGCCAGGCCAACCAGCAGTGTGCCACACTGAGACCAAGCCCTCACAGCAGCTGACTAGGGTATGTTTTTCTGTTGGGATATGATGGCTGGCCCTGTCAAAAAGGTCACCTTTCCTCATCTACTTGTCAAGTGTTTCTTGTCTCTGGCTTGAACAGTTACACCCCACCCCATGAAAGAAACCTCCCACCTCCTTTGGAGCAACTGAAATATCCCATATCCATTTAATTGGAAGGACCACAAATTTGCTGCAGAGCACATGCTCTGTATGTAGAAGGCCCTCAGCTCAATCCCAGGCATCTTTATTCACTGCAGTCAGTTCCTAGTTGTGTGCTTTCCATCAGAGTATCTCGAGGATCACTGAAAAAAGCAGAGTGCTGGACTAGATGGGCCCCCTTTGGTATGGTCCTGCTTCCAGCCTCTACTTATGTGATGTTAAAGAAAATTTGCTGCCTTGGAAAACTGCTGCCCTGCTGAAACAGACAATACTGGGCTAGGTGAACAAAATACTCTGGCCTAGTAGAAGACTACATCCTATTATTTATTTGATTTCTATGCAGCCCCACTAGCCACTAGCACCAATTCAGCAACAGTGTTTTTATGGTTCGGATTGTGACAGTTTCTGCTTTATGTTAAGAGACAATTGTGTACCAAGGTAATTGTTGTTCCCTCAATAACACATATAGGAGCTTAGTTTCAGTATTTTAAGTGAAAGTACATCTTGACATAAAACATTCCATGTTTGTAAGTCTTGTATTCTCCTTATCATCTTTGCTTGCACAGGTGGATGAGGTAGAGAGGGAAGTGAATACTATGAATCTGGGAAACTGACTTTTCATTAGCTCACAGAATCTGCAGCATGTAACCTGGAGTGCCTTTCAGTAGGGGACAGCTAGTAGATAAAATTCCCTCTAGCTCCTTTACACAACAAAATACAAAATTTAGGTGACTGGAGCAGCAGAAAAATCATCTCAGGGCTGAGCATTTGGTATCCTTCAGGCAGCAGAGAGAGAGAAAAGTAGCCAGACTATAATCAGCTCTGCTCAGAAACAACTTCCTCTTGACTCCTATTGGGCCACAACTGAGATAGATGGAAAGCAATCCAGAAGCAATGCTGAAAGACCAGTATCCTTTGGCTCCCCTTCTTGAACAGTTTTTATTCAGTCATTGTAAGAATGTTAATAACTACTGCCTTTTTGTGTGTTTTCTCCTTTCTGCCACTCCCTTTTCATCTTGGGTTGTTTCATTTATATTGTAAGTGGGAGGATAGGAACTGTTCTATTTGGCACACCCCTCCTTTCCATGAAAAAACAATGCTCCTGGTTAGCTTATGGAGAGCATTTTGGGGACTCTGTCAGCAAACACTGTAAATTCCTCAGGTAGAATAGCCCAGTGGAAAGAAAACTCAGGAGTCCCAGCCTACGAAAGCTTTCTTTCCTCCTTGTGAAAAAGGTAGAAGGCCCCATCATCCTCCACTTTCTAAGAAGCTGGGCTTCTCCTCATAAGATCTGTTTAATCCAGATCAATTGAAGCTCTTTCAGCACAAGTGCTGTATTCAGTTTCAGAAATAGCCTTGACTGCATTCCAGTAGTAGGCAAGTTCAAAGGCAAAATAGAATAGGGCCAATATACCAGCATATTTAGCATGAAGTTCTTATGGCCAGTAACTAAGCCATGGGCATGTCAACCATTTGGCGGGGGGTGGAGGCAGGAGGAAGCTGCACCAAAGACACTAATGTCAGGGAATAATTGGCAGAAAGAAGGGGAGGTCTCTTGGGAAGCCCCAGAGAATAGGCCTGATTTAGTCCAGAGAGCTCAAGCTTTGAACCAGTTTTTAATCCTCTGGCATAACAGTGGAAAGTATTCTTCAGTAATTGGATTAGATAAGCCTTGCTACCTTCTTCAGGCTGCATGTCATTAAAAATTTACCACCTGGATTGCTACCTGAAAATGGTTTCCATGTTGCAGCCAGGCTGGGAAGAAGTCTCTGCTTATACTATCCTGCTAACGTAAGTTATGATAAAGGTGTTGAGATCAGAAATAAGACGCAACCAAATCTGCAGGGTCTGAGTGAGTGTGGGTGCATATCTCACCTGCACAGGTAGACTTGGCCCTAGTACAACTGTTGGCTTGCATGGACTATACCAAGGATGGCAGCATTGAGCTGGCTTTATACCCACATAGGTGGACTTGGCCAACAGAAGAGTCATCTGCTTCTTCCTTTGGGTTTCCCATCTGTCTGTGATGTCTGTAGGGGGTTGCTTGACTGGACTGGCCCATCAAAACAGATTGCTAGAATCTGAACAATTCCTCTTAGGTCTAATGCTTCCCTCCACTTTAATAACAAGAAAAAAATCCCAGGGGAATGAAAAAGTTTGATTAGTAGCCTTCAAAGCAGAAATGAAACTAGAAATAGGTTTCACCTTCACTGGAGAGTAGTACAGTGGTACTTTGGTTCACGAACTTAATCTGTTCTGGGACTTTGGTTGTGACCCAAGTTAAATTTCCCCATAAGGCTCAATGTAAATAAGGTTAATCCATTCTGTAACTAACTTTTTTTAAATCAGAAAAATGTGAAGAAGCAGAGTGACAAAGAACAACAAAGATCATGGCCATCTTCCTACCCCACCCCAAGCACGAGCCTGGCCATCTCCCCGCCCCCCCCCCCAGCACGACCACGATTGTGCCCGTCATCCCTGCACGTGCCTGTCATCTTGGTGCATGGGGGGTGGGGGGGAGATGGGCACAAATGCGGGCGTGCTGGGAGGGAAAAGATGGGCACGGGGGGGGAGAGGGTAGACAGGTGCGTTTGTGCTGGGAGGGGATGACCGAGATCGCAGTCGCGCTCATGCAGGAGACGGGCACAAACTTGGCCATCTCTCCCCCCCGCCCCCCAGCACGATCACGGCCATCTTCCCACTTGGGGGGGTGGGGAGATGACCATGATCGCCACCCAATGCAGAGTTCGCGACCTGAGTCAAATTTTTTATGAAATTTTTGTTCGCGACCCAATTTGGTCACGACCTGAGGTGTTCGTGAGCTGAGGTACCACTGTAACTTTATGCATATTTTGCATATTCCTGCCCATTGTAGTGGGAACAGCAATTCTTCCACTCTAAGAAAATTGCTTATTTTTAGAAGCCAGTTAAAAGTCTAGGGAATAGAATATCTGAAAGAAAACAAATAGGCAAACTACCATACTACTGTTTCCCCATAGCCAAGTTTCTCAGGGAATCTAAAACAAAAGCTCTGATTGGGAAAGTAGCAGGGTTCAGAAATGGTGCAGTTTTGCTATTGGTCCTACATAGAAGCAGTCCTTGACATCATGGCTCTTTTAGGCTTCCCCTCCTAGCCCCCCAGTGTGAAAATGAAAGCTATCTATAGAAAACAATGGAGAAATCCAGTAGTTTAGTATAGATGTGACTGAACAGCAGTGTCCACTCTCCAAGGAAAAGGTAAGCAAAATGTTCTTTCCAACTCTGGTCTTATTTGATGCTTCCTTCTTTTCAAGCAATTATTTCATAAAACAGTATCTTCAGACTGCATTTTCAGAAATACATTATTTTATTCACAATACATTATAAATAGCCTATCGTATTCTCTATAAGACAAACACAAATTTAGTCATGACTAGAACCCTAGTGACAAACATTTAGCATCCAAATGTACTTTCTTAAGCATAAAAAAGACTAATACTATTGAAAAGTTATAGGTATTGGACTGAATCCAGAGATCCTATAAGCAGTGTTCTCTTTATGGAAACTTTCGGTTCATGGAATGGGGGAAAGAGATTTGCCCCAGTTCCCCATCCCCCATACACCACTTGAAAATTTACTGAAAGATTGAAGGATCTCCTAGAACATTGTGGGACATTACCTTCTCATTTGCAGAAATCCTTGCAGGATCACAGTCCTTTCCAGGAACAGGAGAAATATTTCATGAACAGAAGGTCACTCTGGATCCATACTATGATTGTTATAACTATTCACAGATACTCAATGAATGTATTTTTCAATTCGCATCGCAAGACTGCACTTTCAAGAACCGTAACAAAATCTCAAATAAACTGTGTCACTTCTGCTATAATATTCCTAGTTATACCCAGCCATTCTGGATGAGAATTAGTTTTCTGGTGTGTGCTGCATTTTCCATCTGGACTGCAGAACAAATACTGAATATTGTACAGCTTGCATTTGGGAGCACAACAGTCAAAACATCCTAATTTAGTACCTAATCTGAGTCACTACTGCTAGTTGAGGAATCTGTTGACATAACCTCTACATCATCTTCATTCTCCTTGTTATGTCCAGGAGGTTCCAGGATAAAGTCATTGCTATGATTAGGAGGTAGCATGTTTATTGACATGTCACTTGATTGCCAGGGATACTGAGGTGCAAGTACTTCTGAAGGAAAACACAATGACACACAATCATACTATAACCTTATATGAATATAACAATTTTAATAATTTTGAAGTAAAATTCATAGAACAGGGCTTAGGTTCTAGCAACACATTCACACAATCGTGTTATAAAACGGTATAGCATTTCAGGCTAAGATAAAGCATAATCCAGCCAAAGGTCCTAGAATGGCAGAGTTGGAAAGGGCCAAGAAGGCCAGCAAGCCCAACTCACTGCTCAATGCAGGATTTCCAGTTAAATCATGTCTAGCTACAACCTGAATGCCTTCAGTCTGGAAGAGCCAACAGCTTCCCTCAGTCATTGGCTCCACTGTTGTTCTCCTCTAACAGTCAGGATTTTTTTTTTCCTGATGTTCAGCAGGAATCTGGCTTCCTATAAATTGAGCCCATCACTCCATGACCTACATTCTGTGATGGTCAAGGAGAAATCTTGGCTCTCCTCTGTGTGACAACCTTTCAAGAAGCCAGAGTGCTATATCATATCTCCACTAGTTTTCTCTTCTCAAGGATAAACATGCCTAATTCTTTCAGTCTCTCCTCATAGGACTTTGCTTCCAGTCCCCTAATCACTGTTGTTCCCCTCAGAGACAGCTGCTTGAAATATGTTACATTTTTAAGAGAAAACTTTATATCTACATATTCCTCAACTTTTAAGATATCAGTCATAGTTCAAGAGCCCTAGAGTAGTTTTTTTCCTGGTTTTGGAAAAGAAATAATCTGGCTATTCCTTTGTGTACAGAAAACCATTATAAAGCACAACAGGGGGTCAAGGGTCTACTAATTCCTTGGAGTAAATTTTACTGTACGGTTTTAAATGTGTTCTAAGTTGACACAAAGAATAATCTTCTCACAGTGGAAACTTGATCACTGACATATTTTACTATAGTATTGGGGTACATTAAATGTTTTCTATTATTTACAATGGACCCAAAGTTTCACCTTGCAATTAAAGTTTCTGCTTTTCTCTTTTTTCCTGCTCCGAGGCTTCCTAATAGTCCAATGAGAACTAATTGGTGGGTTGTATCTTACAGTAAGCATGTTTAGGAAGCATCATGCATGTTTGCTCCTAATTCACTGTTCTTTGTACATGCTTTTTTTGCTAACCCCCCCCCCACCAAAATAAATAAATATTTAAAGAATAGGTTAATATTGTGAGGTCCACAATAGCTCAAAAGTTCAAAATAATATTAAAGTCAAAGACATTTTTAATTCTCCCAATCCAATTTAACATTTGGCTAGTTAAAGCACTCTAAAATAATGCACACTATTTGAAACTCACTTTTCAAATGCTTTGCTAGAAACCTTTTCATTCATTTAACTCCCACTATTCATATCTCCTTATTTTCCATTACCTGGTAATCTGCCTGCTGCAAGGGCATCCCCTGGTAAGTGTCCATTGACGCCATTTGCTGAAGGGTTGCTCATCTGACCCAGCAGACCACTTCTCATCTCCAAGTCAGTTGGGTATGGTCTCCGTGGATCCCCTATTAAAAACAAAACAAAACTCTGTTTGACATTCTGAATGATTTTTTTTTTTTTTGGTTAGGTAACTGTACAATCCTTTTCAATATTTTTCCTTTTAACAGCTGTTGACATATTAGCATAAGTAATGTTTACATAAAAATTAAGCATTCCACTAAGATCTCTAAAATACTTAAACATTAGTCAATAGAGGAACCGTTTATATACTCACCACTCTGTGGGATCTGCCTAGATATGGAGTGATACACAAAATACTGTAAACATTCAATCAATAAATAAATAGACTATCAATAAAATTATGACAAAAATATCAAATTGTGAAGCTTGTTAATTACCTGGTACCCAGGTAAGAGGAGCACAAACAGCATTGCTGGCACTAATTCTGTGTGCATATTTAATTATTTCTTCAGATGAAATAGCCCCTGAGAGAAATTGAGGGAAGAGAAATTGAATTCAGGTTTGTGATACAGAATTCTCTTCCAGAGGAAAAGAAATGTAAAAGCACAGATATTATAAAGATATCACTGACCAAATTTGTTCCAATTTCCTGACCACAAATAACACCTGCTTTTTTAAATAATTATAGGCTGATTCTTAAACTTTCTTATGGTATAGACTACTATCCCAATAAACTTATTCTTTGCAGAGCACTTTAAATCCACCATTTGTTGGGATGTGGAAATTGCTTCTGCTTACTATAAACAACCTCTGATTGGAGGTTTTCAGTGTGATTAGTCTGGAGCTTCAACCAGGAGAATTCAACAGTTAAACTGGAGGTTAACTTCTGGGCTGTTTTAGCCCCTGAACTAGAAAGTGGCCTATGTCCACACATCATCCTGACAATCTGCAATTGCACCCATCATAAGAACTTATGATTTGCCATCATACATTCAAACTGGTTCTATTTCTTATGTTGTAGCAGCTACTCCATTGGAGGCCACGTAAAGTTTCAGAATTAAAACAATTATTCCTGCTCCATAAATCAGATTCCTTTACACTTCTGCAGAGATGTAGAAAAGCTGATTTGTTCAATATTTTTGTACATGCTGAGTTAGCAATATTTGTCCTTAAAGGCAGTCCTATTCAGGACAGACGGAAACAATAAGAAAAATCTCAGTGTCATACAGCACGCTAAATATTTAAAGTGCTTATATTCTACTCCTGACCCTAAAAGTATCCTGGACCACTTTGTTGTTGTTGTTGATAGTCAAAAAGTAGTGTCCGACCCATCGCGACCCCATGGACGACATTTCTCCAGGCCTTCTTGTCCTCCACCATCCCCCAGAGTCCACTTAAGCTCACGCTTAAGTGACTCCATCTAGCCACCTCATTCTCTGCCGTACTCTTCTTCTTTTGCCATCAATTCTTCCCAGCATTATTTATTAATTTATTTAAGATATTGGTATGCCCTCCTTTGCGAGAGCCTCAGCCTCATTAGGCTCTTCTCCAGTGAGTCCTGCCTTCTCATTGACCAAAGTATTGGTCAATACTTACTGGTCAATACACCAATACTGTATTGGTCAACACCAATACAGTATTGGTGACCAAAGTATTTTAGTTTCATCTTCAGGATCTGACCTTCTAAAGAGCAGTCAGGGTTGATCTCCTCTAGGACTGACTGGTTTGATCGCCTTGCAGTCCATGGGACTCGCAGGAGTCTTCTCCAGCACCACAGTTCAAAGGCCTCAATTCTTCAGCGCTCAGCCTTCCTTATGGTCCAGC